AAGAAAATGCAGTCCCTCTGGATAATTGCTTAGCACTAGGTGCCGATAATGCACCAGTATTGGTAGGCTTGAAGACTGGTGTTGCAGGCATCTTCAGAAAGAAAAATTCAGATTTGCAGATTATGAGGTGCACCTGTCACCTCTTAAATTTAGCAGCTGAAAAAGGAGTAGCTTCTTTACCAATAAATGTGGATGAACACATTGTTGATATTTATTATAATCTTGAAAGGAGTTCTAAAAAGGAGGAAAAATTGAAACAGGTCCAACAGCTGCATAATAGCAGTTTACAATTAGAAAACTTGGATGAAGTTATAAAATCAGCTAGGATTGACACCCAGTGGAGTTTAATAGGAAAACTGAAAGGTGCTGATGGAATTTTAAAATATAGTCAACTGTCTAGAATTGTGTTGGCCATCTTGACAGTTCCCCATAGTAATGCAGAGTGTGAGAGGATTTTCAGTGTTGTTGTGAAAACAAGGACTAAATTTAGATCTAATATTAGTGATGACACATTAGAAAACTTTTATTAGTGAAAGCAGGCCTACGTGGCAATTGCTATGAACAAAATTATGAAGTTTCTTTCTTAAAGAAAGCAAAATCCGCCACTGTTTATACCATTTGTACAAAAACTGATTAAAGGTTTTTTTTTCTTGTTTTGTTTTGTTTTCTTAAACGATGCAAGTAATGAAAATGTTTTTTATGTGTAAGGTATTTTTGTGTTGCTTGCATAAGAATTAGTTACTATTTAAAGTTAATTCATTATTAAAAACTATATTTTCCTTATTTAAAAAGTCTTTTTAACATTGTTAAAAATCTCCCGATTTCTTAAAAAAATCTCCCGATTTCTTAAAAAAATCTCCTGATTTTTGAGTGTCATAGGTTGGCAAGTATGTATGTTTTTTACATAATCTACAACACGAGAGAAAATTACTACTTAAAACATTCTTTCTAAGGGAATTAATGTAAAAATTTATATATATTTTTTAAGCTGGGACATGACCCAAACTGTCAACTTCCTGTTTGCTTAAAAATATTGTGAAAATAAACATCAAACGAACTTTCTCAGTTTTAGGCAACTAAGTTTAAATGAAGTTAATTGATGATAACACAGTGAAGGTAAAAATTTACTCTTACAAATATTTAAAAAAAAAAAAGGAAGGAAATTAAAAAAAGTTGTGAATAATATCATCTATAATTTAAAAAAATAGCTTTTCATATAGTATTAATAAATGTTTATTACACATCATTGAGGGGGAAAACCTCATATAATTAATTTTCCATAAAAATTTATTTGAAATCTAAGGTTTAGCTGTGGCAATTCACCGTAGCAAAATCCATAAACCACGTTTGGCGTTATTTTCACTTAAAAAAATAAAAAATAAAAAATAAAAAATCAAAATGTGCCAATATGTAAATTTGTGTATATTTTAGAAAATTTTGAATAAAAAAGTCTAATTTTTTGCAGGTATGCTTAGAAATACACCCATTTTAAGATTATGGCAAAAGATTTATAAGTTATAATTTAAATATTTTTTTTTTGAAAAATTTATAAAAATTTTTTAAAAATACAAATTTAAAAAAAAAAGCATAAAAAATGGGTGAATTTTATTTGGAATGAAACTAAATTTCGATATGTGAAAGGAAAAAAGTTTAATAAAAAAGTGATATTAATAAATATATACCAAACTCAATTTACATTGAGGAGCTAAAATTTTGAGAGCTAAGTTTTTAAAAACTACTCTTATGATTTTTACAAAACGTGGCAGTCTGGCATAATTTGAGTCGTAGAATCAAAATATGCAAAAAAATTGGCATGTTATTTCAGAATAAGTCCGATTTTTATGTCAAAATACTTATGTTAGAATGATGCTATATATAAATCTAATATGTATCTTAAGTCGTGCTTTCGAGTCATGAAAAACGCAATTTGAATTTCCTCAATCGGCCCAGTAGGACGGGATATATAGAATTGTTCCTCTTTCCCCCCCTTCCCCCACAGTGTACATTTCATCTCCATTCTAGGCAAACCCAAATGATAAATAACTATCATTATATTGTTGTTTTTTTTTCCCCTGATACCAGTTGTTACGCTATTTTCTTCTTTCACATTCATACGGGGTTCGTGTGGATTTGGAGTGAATAACGACGACAGCACTTGATGGAATATCAAAACACACTTTATTTACCAATATTAATCAGGACATATCCAAAGTCATGTTTAACAGTCGTCGAAGATCTACTATACACTCAGCGGAACAATCAGCGACACAGCCTTCAGGTTATCAGGCTACAACGGTGAAGACAGCTTCACTGCAAAGCACCAGAGTACGGCTCCCGACTCTGCTCGGTCGTTCTCGGAACTCCACATACTCTCGAGACTCTCTATGCTACAACTCGTGATGCACTCGACAACACACAGACCATAGCTCCCGACTCTTCGGTTCAGTCGTTCCCGGAGCTTAACACACTCTCTCGACGATGCACTAACCGCGATACACTAAGAGACTCTTCGATGCATTCGACGACCCACTCGGCACTCGCTGGCAGGCTGTCAACTCAGTCGTCTCCACACGGGCTAACTAGATGAGACACACTAACTCACACTCTAGACGAGGCACACACTAACTGACTGCGGACCAGCAGGGTTGATATAGCTTTCGGCTTGTGTTCAAGAACATTCTGGGGTAAACCGGTAAGAATTCGTTCCAGAAGGTTCTCCATCCATCCATGGCATGTCATCAATTTTGTTGCCAAATGGGCGATTTCTCACCAAATGTGGTAACTCTGCCTTCATTTACCATTTTATGGCAACCCTAAACCTGCTATGCGGGGAGCTATCTCGTCACGCCTGTACATTTTGTAACAATATTTTCTATAAAGAATTTTTTCTTTTCAATATTTTTAGTGCTGGTAATTGTCCTGGATCATCACTTTTTCCTGGATCACCACCTTGTCCTGGATCATCACCTGTGAATCATCACTTTTCCGCTTAGTCAATCCTAGTCATTTTAAAAATCTATGTTTTATTATTATTATTATTTTACAAATATTTAAATGCACAATATATAGAGAGTTCTTAGAAAACAAATGAAAATATTCTGAAATCGTGCAGAAAAGTAAGGAATACCTGCTGTTAGAGACAGCAAATGACGTAAAAAGAATTGGTACTTTTCCGTTTTGCTGGCGCAAGTTATAAAATTGCCAGTAATGGTAAAACTGATGCCAAACAAAATATCCTCCCTCACTGGTAACCTCTAACTTTTACATTTTCAAAACAAGTCGCAGCTATTTCTTATCAGATTGATTGTTTCTTTCAATACTGGCATACAGTTACATATAATTTTTACCAGATAGTTCAATTTTATGCCCTAAGGCAATTTTATGCTGTAATAAAGTCAATTAGAATGCAATCACACCGCTCACCCGATGGTGAAAATATAGAAAAGGCAAAGTCAAGGGTTAACTTCATCAATTCTAATAAGAATGCACTAGCGATTTAAAGCACTGAGGTTTTACATAATTTCTGATTAAGCTATTCGTACAAATTGAAATAATTCTTGCATTTAAACTTGTATTCCAAATTAAGATTTAACTTTAAATTAATGTAAATAATTACTGAGAGAATTAGATTTTTGTAGCCTAGTTTACTTGAGATGAGATTACTTGGGATCACGTGATATGAACCGGGAAATCAGGATTTAAAATGTCTTTTTACAAATTTGTCTATTTATTGGCATTTTTACGAAATTTTAAACGACATTAAAATGTTTATACCTTCAAAATAAAAAATTCTTAGAACTAACATTTGTCAACATGTTTTATGTGTATACCATGTGTTTTCTCCATTAAAGTCTTCTTGGCGAGATTTGCGTTGGCGAAACGGAAAAGTACCAAAAAATATTCTAATTGGAAACAGAGCAATACGAGCCTGGAAATGGTGGCGAGATAAAAAGTAGGCATGCTAATAACTAACTCTAAGAGAATAAATCAAATACTATTATCTTTTTATAGGAACTTATTTTTATTTCCTCTTACAAACAACATCCATTTCTACTACTCCTTTCTTTTAAAAACATCATTTATGACACATTTTGTTATGTCTATGGCTAAAAGAATATTTATGAAAATGAAAACGGATTATTTTGCTTAAGTCTATGAGCGGCTATTGACCTTGGTAAACGGGTTGTTGGGGTACTTAATTTTTGAATTTAATAGTTAAAAATACTTTTTTCTTTCCATACCACCTATTTTTCTCTTGTGTGCAACAGGTTGAGAATCGTTGATCTAAGTGATGTCCTGAAGACATATTGAAACTTTCGATTGTCAATTAAATCTTTCCCAAGAACTTTCATTTGGTACAACTGCTCACTCTTATCAAATCCTTTAAATCTGTGATGAGCAGCAAGGAAATGCAAATGCGTGTGCACACCTCTTACTATTTCTTGCACTTATTCTAATTCCTGATATTTTGACTACTATGGATGATAGTGTTGTCCATCCTTAACAATTGTCCAGCAGTGTATATATAAACCGGAGTTAAGAAATTTTTTCATAATTAAGATTATAAATTATAAAAATTGTGCAGTATGCTGCAAAATTAATTAAATCAAAATTTTGTGGTTAACAGAACTGGAAGAACATACATCAAAATTGGAACAAAAACAAAATAATTCAATAAAATGATACAATAAGAATATTTTCATAAAACAAGAAGTTGAAAATTCTGTTGTCTTTTTCAAGGAGAGCAGATTATATTTTGATGATTTATTAAAAAGACTAAAAAAGTGTTATTTATACTTGTTTTTTATTTGGCATTACTTTCGATTATTTTTCATGAATTTGTGATCATCTAGATATAAAAAGTAAAGATGAAAAATACAACCAAATAATTTTCTACTATTTGTTTTATTATATTATTTTGCTTCTGTCCCGATTTTGAACATATTCAAGAAATTAAGTCATTTTATATAGTCTTATTATTATTATTATTATTATTTTAGAGGAATTGCTTAGAGATTTCTTCTTTTTCTATATGAGCTTTGATTTCTCCAAAGTTATACAACCATTAACAGGCTCTTCTTCTATTCCTCTAACTGATTTTATAAATGATGCAAGTCATTCAACAGAAAAATTTGAAGTAAGTCAATTAAAAATTATTTTTCCTTATGGAACTATTAAAATACCACTTTAAATCTGCTGATTTTTATAATTAAATTTAATATATATTAATTATTTAGCATATTTCAGCCCACCGCTAGTTGAAGAGCTAAATCTGCAAAATGCTAATAATTCATCATGAGTTTCATTTACTGTAGTTGAATTAATTAATTGCATGTGTAATGCAAATACAGGTTTATATATCATAAAATTTCTTGCATAAAGGTATTTTTTTAGGCAAATACCATAACAAAATAATCAAATCCAATCCTTTTTGATATTTCAGTTACATTTTTTGCTTCTCTTAATATGTTTCTGAACTAAACAAAAAATATTTTCTTTAAGTTTTTATTAAAACTGGGTGAAAAGAAACTAGTTTTGACTTTTCCATGCACACTTAAATAAGATATCTAACTCTGAAATTCAGCCTTTCTGGCAAAATTGATATCCTCACATTTTTTCACTCTTAATGAGCTTTTCAATACCGTGCTAAAAATATATCTCATATATACATATAAATTTGGTCATCCTTAATCTGAAAGCCCACAATGCCACTTTTAATGAGCATGATGTCTTAAATGCCAAGTCAGCCTCATTTCAGGAAGCAAACAGTTCATTTTATATCACTCAGCAGTGTAAGTGGATCCAAATGTTTCTGCCTCATATATAAAAAATTGGTTGGCAATTAATTCCTCTTGCACACGAGACCAGAACACATGTTAATTTAAATGTAAAAAAGCAGCTGGTTGGAGAAACTGAAGGAATGAGTTATTTTGTTATTAACATGCAATATGGATCCAACAATTAAGAAGCCTGGTTATTGGCAAAAGCAGGAAACCTGGATGTTTGAAAAAAAAATTTTCAATTATCATTGCAGATTATTCCATTCTGTCAATGAACAGAATTGAATTTTGTGCAGTTGATAGCTCCTGTAGAAGCTATGCATAATATAGTCAATACTAGATAAATAACATTGAAATTTCACTAAAGAAATAGTGTTCTTTTTTTATTGGTCATTGAGTAAAATGATGTAATTTGTTCTGAAATGTAAATCAAGTATCATTCTAAATAAAAGAATCATGATAAAATTTTTGAATAATGAAAGTGTTAACCTAAAAGAAATAAAATGATGCTTAAATAATGCATATGCCAATTCATTCCTATTCTACAGCGAAAGAATGGGTAAAACGATTTTTCATGCATGAAGAATCCATATATTATTCTCCTGAATATCCTTCACAAAAATCAATAAATATTACTTGTGTTCATGAAAAAATATTGAGTGACAAAGATGAAAAGATGAGGAGATAGCAGCAAGATTGAATCTATCTAAAACAACTATTTTATACATTCTGCATGAACATCTTCACAATAAATCTGTAATTCAAAAACAGTAGTGCTAGTTTAAAGATACTGTGATAAGCCCCATACAGCTTAGAAAAAGAATTTAAACTGAAAAGTAATTTTAATGATTATTATTTTTTCCAAACTAAAATCTAGAATCATTAATAGAAAGAAATTTGATTGATGATGAATGATGATGTGAATAGCAGTTTTGAAACATTTTGAGGATAAATCTTCAGCTTACTTTTCTAGGGAGTTGCTCTTTAACCCTTTTCAGTACATTACCTTTTACAGTTGGAATTTCAACAACAATAACAACAGAGGAAAAAAAAAAAAAAAAAAAGAGTAGGTTGTTTTTGTAAATATAGCACTTACCATTTTAATTCTGTGGGTGAATGAATAGGGGTTCGAGAAGAGTGCTGAAGCGAGCATTGCTGGAACGTGCATAACAGAGTAAATTGCACATAATTAAAAAACACTAAATTCTGATTAAGTCTTACCACAGGGAGGCCTGCTACTCTACCCCTTCACACAAAAGCTCTTCTTGGTTATATGATGATTATTATGTGTATAAATGAGAAAAAGGTAACTTGGCTGTATGTTATTTACATTTCTATTTACACTTTTATCTTTTTTTCATGGTGATACTTTTTAAAGCGACCCCCCCCCCGGAAAAAAACATAACCCAACATTGTATGTTTTTCTCATGTACCAGGATCCATATCCGATCTACTATCTGAAGGTAACTGTGTAGCACTTTCAGTGTTTCAGAAATGGTCAACCCTCTCCAATCCATTTGGAAAATAATTAAAAATCCGAAAACAAATAAACTAATATTATAGTTTATTTTTATTTTATATCTACAATTTAGAAAATATAAACTATAAAATTAAATAAAACATCTACAACTCAAAACTATCAAAACATAGAGCTAATAAAACGTCTTTCAAGAATAAAAAATAAAAAAAAAAAAAAAAAAAAAAAAAAAAACTGCCCTAGTGAAAAATCAAAGAGCTAAATGATAAAATTACCCCTGATTTTCAGTGAAATACCCCAGCAATTTCTTAGTCAATAATAAAACCTCCATTCAAAAAAAAAAAAAAAAAAAAAAAAAAAAATTGGGGCTGGAAATGAAACACAGATGAGCACCCACCTTTCTGTTTGAATGAGCAACAAAATGCCTGCAGTGAAACAATGATACAGTTGTTGGCCTGATCCTGGCATTTCAGTGATCCGATGCTTGGCACACCAGTTGTTCGTAGTTTTAGGCAAGATTTCAAGGTAAAAATTAAAAACTAATATAGAATAAAGAGATCAGCATACAGCTAAAAAATTAACATAGAAATTTCTTTTCAAACAATTGCATTTATATCCTAAAACAAATCTGGAAGATTTCTTTAAAAACTAAACATAACTAAAACGTATGGACTGGTTTCTGTCATGCTGCCATCTAGAATAAATAAAGAAGGTTAAAAGTAACCTATAAAGCCTTTTCCATTCAATTTTTCTTTGGGTACAAAGAGAATGTTTTTGGGCACACTGTGCTGCAAAGAGTTAAAAGATGTAAAAGGTATAAGAACAATTATGTTGAAAAATTAAAGTTTTTTGTATTTGTTTTAGAAGTATGCAAGACCAAAAACTTTTGCATCTAACCTACATATATTCCTCATTTCTTAATTTTATTCTGCTCAGTGGCCTATTCTGGGAAACACGGAAATAATTGTTCATTTATTTCAGCTGGCAATAATAAGAAGAGTCAAATAGTTGCAGCAACTAGGCAAAAATTAAACATAATTGATATTATAAAAAGAATCCATTATTTGAAAGACTACCTTATATTACTTGAAAAAATAAAGATATATTCTGAACTTCTAGTTTTCAGAAACTGGTATATTTGATGATGCAGTTCTATTGATTCACAGCTTAATAAATAAATTCATACTTTATTTATACCTGTGGGTTTCATATGAATGATGTGATAAAAAGAGGAAGAAAAATAGTTTAATAAACAATGATGGATTGTTCAGTTGACAAGGACTTCTGGTTTCTTAATGGTTTATGACATGTACTAATGCACAGAATTTTAAATATTAAATTATGTTCAGGTTATGTTTATAAAGAACAAAAATTAGTTTTGTGCTAAAACTTGGCCCTATCCTGAAGTTTTGAATGCAAACATTCCAAATTTCAAGACATTTCTTGTTGTAAACCTTTCTGACAATGCATGAACAACTACACTGCTGGCCACTGTAAATGCAACACCCTGAAGGAAGCATGCAAATAACATGAAATTTACAACATGCATTAGCGGAGGTGAGATATGCAAATGATTCGAATTTCAGCGCAGACGCACATCACGCGTGATTATGGTTCAAAGCGCTATTTAAGGTTTGGAGTTTTCGACGATTTCAAGTTCGGCAATTGTGTTTTTTTTAAAAAAACGGTCAATTATGCCTCGTAGTAAACAGCGATCATCATTTGATCAAGTATCCGAGTTCAACAGAGGAAGTATAGTGGCCTACCGAGAGTGTAGATTATCTTTCAGGGAAATCGATAGTCGTGTTGAATGAAACCAAACAACTGTAATGCGGATATGTGACCGTTGGATGCAGGAGGGTACGACCGCATCCACCTCGGTGCACCACTTCACGTGATGACAGGAACATTGTGTGCATGGCAGTGACAGATCACTCACTCACATAATGAAACCATAGCACAGCACATTCAGTCTGTAACACATCATCCAGTGTGCACGTACCATTTGATGCCATTTACAGCAGATTGGTCTGTCCGCAAGAAGTCCATTGCTTCATCGACCCTTGACGCGGAACCACAGACATCTCCGCCGCCAATGGTGCGATGTAAGAAGGATGTGGACAGCAGAATGGAATGAAATTGTCTTTACTGACGAGTCACGCTTCTGTCTGCAACATCACGATGGTCGGATCCGGAGAGAGGATGTTGAACAGCTGCGTTATGCACTGCCACACTGGTCCTGCATCGAGTATTATGGTGTGGGGCGGTATTATATACCACTCTCGCACTCCTCTAGTATGCATTTCGGGTAATTGAAACAGCCAGCGCTACATCTCCAAGGTGTTGGAGCCAGTTGTCCTTCCTTACCTTCAGGGCTTGCCCACAGCCATATTTTAACAGGATAATGCGCGACCACACGCATTGTCCAAGGGCAATTGTCCAAGGGTTCTTCATCAATCGCCAGATTGAATTGCTTCCCTAGCCAGCTCGCTCTCCGGACCTTTCGCCGATAGAAAACGTGGTCCATGGTTGCTGAATGATTGACCCAAATTACACCCCAAGCTGCCAAACCAGATCAACTTTGGCAACGCGTGGAAGCTACTTGGTCTGCTGTACCCCAAGAATGCAACCAAAGTCTCTTTGAGTCAGTGCCGATGCGTGTGGTAGCGGTGATCTCCAACAATGGCAGCTACTGATTCTGGATGGAACCACACTTCACAGAAATCTATACATTTAATCATTTGATACTTGGTCAACATGTTATCTATTAAATAAATGTTATTGTTATATCTCTTGTCTTTCTTGGTGTTGCAATTTGGGTGGCCAGCAGTGTATATGAAAAAAGGCAAATTATTTTCATGTTTATTATGTTTTTTACAGCCTGGTACAGTGAGTATTCAAGATCCTTTTCGCCATTCATTTAATGCTACAGCATGTGCCAATCATAAGAGCTGCATAAAATTTCTTAGTAGTTTGATAAAAGCTTGCAAATTGTATCAAGGTGAAGCTAAATGGATACCAAAGAATGACAACTGGGGTATCTGTTCTTTGTTTATACCTCCTGTGTCTGAACGAGAAATACAAAAAGAATGGACACAAGATCGGTTTCACAAAATTGCATTGCCTATAAAGAACCTTGAAGCTATTTCAAAGGTGAAAGAAATAATTCAGTATGGCTTATTGTTTGAATGTACTGACTTCAGAGTCATAAATGAAGACTTAACAGCAACAAATGGAACTTTAAAGACATTACTCAAAATGCATTGTAAAGCTTATCACAATACCTGGCAAGGTCGTGATTGGCACAAAAAAAAGTATGCAAATTTGACTACTAATCTTTTAGAATTAGAGCATTCAATTTCTCTTGAATTGGCTAAAAATAAAACTGAAACTCGCCGAAAAATTCTATGTGAATTTCAGTGTGAATGCAAAATTAACAAAAATAATGAATCAGTGCTTATTTTAGAACTCACATTTAAGGAAGATAAATTCCCTCCAATAGTAGCAATATTCCTAAAAGAATTTATTCCTCATATATTTTCAAAAGTCAGTGATCTAGATTGATGTAAATTTTATTTAAAATTATTTAAATATGTGTAAATATAGTTTCTGTATGAAATAAAGACAGTAATTAAAAAACAGTAATTTTTCCTACTTTCTTTTTACATGTATATCTCAGCAAAAATTTGCAGTTTTTCTTTTACATTAAATTTCATTTCATAATCTTATTTATTATATTTAATATCGGTGAAAAAATTTTAAGATACCTTAAAATTTGAATTTTAATTTTAAATTTAACAGTGAAACATTTTTAACATATTTTTTCATGCAATTTCTTTTTTCTTTTCAAGTTAAAGTTATTTCATCTTGAAAAATTCATTATTCTGTACCAAATTTTGATCAAATATGTACCCAGGCAGCATGCATTTGTAAATTGTACAAGAAAAATACGTGCAATTTATGAATGGCCTTTCGTATAAAAAACGTTCAAGTTAAACTTAAAAATATCATAAAAGTGTCCAGTGGCAATTACTAATATTTACGTATATTTTTTACGTTATACTATACGTAACTTTTACGTAAAATTTAGGTATATTTACGAGAGAGACGTAGCTGTTCATTCGCAACTTTTACGTATAATATACGTAAATTTCTGGGATTTACGTATAATTTTAGTAAAAATTTACGTATATTTATCGCATATACATAAATCTCAATTTTTTGCTTCACGTATGCGTATATATTTAGTAAAAATTTACGTAAATCTCCCCGATTTTTTACTGTATATAACGTATATATTAGGTAAAAATTAAGGTAGATATTCCCCGTATTTTACGGTACAAAAACGTATATATTTGATAGTAATTGACCTAAATCTTCCCTATGTTTTTCTTTGCATATGCGAATGACTGGTAAAAATTTAATCCGATGTCTTCTCCACTTTACTGTGTATAAATGCACATTTTTTGGTAAAAAATTTGCATAAATCTCCAATTACCTTTTCACTGCATTTTTCGTAAAATGTACTTATTTTAATCTCATATTTTTTATATAAATCTATGCAAAAACTTTCTGCATGCTATGATTAAAAGGTAAAATGTCATTTTTATATCAAATTCTTACATATCTGCCTTTTAGTTATGTACAGCAATATGGAATATATATAACTGGAAAATTTAAATGCACTAGTAAATGCAAAAAAAAATTAAATTTCTATTCAAAAATTACGTAACACTTAAAGGCTGAAAATCACTTTTAATATTTCATTTCAAAGTGACTACAAAATATGCAATAAATTTCGTAAACATCAATTCTATGTTTTAAATCAATTAATGCTATCGTTCATTTGCATTTTTGTTTACTAAATTCATTTCATAAATTTAAATTTAGTAAACAAATGTAGCAAACAGTTGTTTACTAAATTCATTATTGCTAAATAACACTTTAAATAAATTATTTGCTTTTCTGAAGGACATAACATTTCTGAAGGATTTAAAACATAGAATTCAGGTTTACAAAATTTATTGCATATTTTGTAGTCACTTTGAAATGAAATATTAAAAGTGATTTTCAGCCTTTAAGTTTTACGTATTTTTTTAATAAAAATTAATTTTTTTTGCATTTAAATTTTCCAGTTATATATATATTCCATATTGCTGTACATACCTAAAAGGTGGATATGTAAAAATTTGATATCAAATTAACATTTTATCTTTTAATCATAATATGCAGAACATTTTTGCATAGATTTATATAAAAAATATGAGATTAAAATAAGCACATTTTACGAAAAATGCAGTAAATAGGTAATTGGAGATTTATGCAAATTTTTTACCAAAAATGTGCACTTATACACAGTAAAGAGAAGACATCGGACTAAATTTTTACCAAAGTCATTCGCATATGCAAAGAAAACATAGGGAAGATTTAGGTCAATTATTATCAAATATATAAGTTTTTGTACCGTAAAATACAGGGAATATCTACGTTAATTTCTATCTAAGTACAATATAGTTAATTACCAAATTCAGTAAACGAGTGTAGCGCAAAAGAAAACATCATACATTTAGATTATTTGAATGAGTGTGCTAAATTTTAAAATTGTTAAATATAGACCAGGAAATTGTAGAAAACTTACCTTTTCCAATAGTTACGAAGTTGACTTTGTTATTTTCCTTGAAGATGAATGTTTAATGTCACAAATATTTCATTCATATCTTCAGATAATACACAATATATAACATATTTTATTATTTAAAAATTCAGTTTATCCCAAAACATGTTAAAGAAAATATTAATTTGCATGCAAGTTAATCGAGTAACTTCTGTTTTAATTACACACATAATTATGATATGTAAAAATTTTACATTTATCAGTCAATCTTGCAATGTATTGTAATCTATTATTGTTGTCTTTCTCAGTTTAAAATCTTATAAATATATTAGATCAGTACTAAAAGTTCACCTCTACAAAAGAAATGCTTTATTGAGGTATTTTTAAAAAGTTCCCTTTTACAATGTAACTGTTAATTTCATAAATAAGTTCATAAAATTATGCAAATTCAAAATTACCTAAATATTTTCTTTTTTATCTTATCTTATATACCAGATAAAATTTTAAAAAGTTAATTTGTTTAGGAATATTGAAGTTTTTAAATATTTATGTCGTGACTTTTTCTATAACATCATTATGAATGTACATGCTGATGTGGACATACCAATTATTTTTTTTTTCATCAAATAGCTTTATGATATTAAATGATTTAAAAGGAGGCAACTGGACAAAAGAAAGCAATTAGAAGTTGGCTAATTTTTATTAATTTGTTGTCAAATGCCTGCATTTTAGATTACGCTCATATGATGACAATGAGTTATTTAAATTATTATGAACATATCCCACATAAATTAACAAGTATCAAATTTCAAGTTGTTTGAAGTATTATGAACTGTAATACTTGCAAAAGAAATACACATGAAATTAATTTAAGAATTAGGTTTATTTTACAGGTATTCGAAAAACTGCAATTACTGTTAAACAATAAAAACTAACATTAAATCTGAAGAGCATAATTTTTTTCAATAATAGAATTCAACATAGATTTCATTTAGCTCGCCATATTTGTTCTATAGTTCACTGTCTTTAATATCCTGCTCGATTTTTTGTAAAAGTGAATTCTTTGTCACCCAATGTTTTGAGAACAGCTCCTAAACAAGAAAAAGAAAAATTTGTAATAATTTCACACTTCAGATGTTTTCAGTTTTTAAATATAGTTGAGGTATTAAAAAATGCATATAAAGTGCACTGAGTATTTCATATTTGAAAATTTACATTTCAGTAATTAAAAATTTAAGTTTCATACTATCACACAGTAAGCTTCAATTATATACCTTACACAATGCCTATAATTTCAAGTAAAAAATACCTAAAGATTTGTTTAGAACTGCAAGGTTGAGAAAGTCTTTAATGGCTATGTTTTGTATTTAAGTACATGAGAAAAAACTTAATTTTGTATTAATTATGCATTAGCCTTTCCAATTTTACTCCTACATATAGTAAAGAATATTCGCTTTCTTACAGATAACTTTTTCTTAAATAAAGAGTAAGCAGAAAACTAATCACAACACTATATACATATAACAGAATACTTCATAAACATATACATGTCATTAACATACGTATATGCATTAACAGGCTATTTTACACACATTTCAATAAACCAGAAACCAATACACAATCAAAAGTATTATCAGTAAATTCCTCCAAAATCAGAACACAAATCTTTAATTATGATAACAATGGCATCTCAGTTTGCAATATAAAATATTTCAAGTCTACATTCATGTGCATTCTAAGCAAACAGAAAGCTGAATAACAATAAAATTATAAATACCATAAAAAAGTTAAAAGCCACGTAGAATGATAGCAAGACTAAATGAAGTCTTCCTTCAAAAATCAATTTAAATTCAAAAATTTGCCTTCCTATTTAACATCTCAAAATAGGGTTACTGCTTTCACTAACTAAATTTCCTGTCTTGGCAAAATAAAAATTGTCACTTCTGTTGCAGGAAATATTTGCTGCAAACTTTGTATTACAATAATTAAAAAATAATGAAAATTGAAAAAGAAATTTTATTTGAAATTATTTATTAACTCATGGAAAGACAGACAGTATTTCCAACTTATTAAATTCAATTACACTTTAAATTTGTCAAACCAATATTGGTACTTTTCCATTTTGCTGGTGCAAGTGATAAAGTTGCCCAAAACGGTACAACCGATGCCAAACAGAATATCCTCGCTGGTAACCTTTTACGTTTCCTTTTTAAAACAAGTCACAGCTATTTCTATCAGATTGAATGTTTTTTTAAATACTGGGATACAATTACACAGAATTTTTACCAGATAGTTCAATTTTATGTCCTAAGGCCATTCGTGGTAATTAAATCGATTAGGATGCAATCACACGCTCACCCGAAAATATAGAAAAGGCAAAATCAAGGGTTAAATTCATCAATTCTAATGAGAATGCACTAGCAAAGTAAAGCACTGCGGTTTTACATAATTTCTGAGTAAGCTATTCATACGAAATGAAATAATTCTTGCATTTAAACTTGTATTCCAAATTAAGATTTAACTTGAAATTAATGTAGATAATTACTGAGAGAATTAGCGTAGTTTAACATGAGATGAGATCACTTGGGGTCACGTGATATGAAACGGCAAATCAGAATGTTGTACCATGAAAGCATAGTAAATTCTTAAATTAATCTCTTTTTACAAATACAAATTAATGTCTTTCTACAAATTTATTGTCTTTATTTATTATCATTTTACAAAATTTTAAACGATATTTTACAAAATTTTAAACAAAATTAAAAGATATGCCTTTAAAATAAAAATTTCTTAGAACTAACATTTGTTAACATTTTTTATGTGTATACTGTGTGTTGTCGCCAATAAAGTCTGCTTGGCAAGATTTGCGCCGGTGAAACGGAAAAGTACCCTAATATTTTGCAAATTTTTTTAAAACATAATTTTCATAAATTTACTATTTTAGGGAGGCTCGGTAGCAAAGTGGCTAGTGCGTCACGCAGCAGCACCGCGTTTGATTCCCAAGCTGGGCAAGGTTGAAACAGCCTTTCATCTCTTGAGTGGGTCGATAAAATTAGTACCAAGTTCCATTGGGGACTAATACCAGGGGGCCTGGAACAAGCTGACCACTTATGCACAAACACCACAAAGCTCACCATCTAGAAAGTAGTATATATCAAGGCATTGCCAGTCATGGCTCTCTAAGGTCTGTTTATGCTATCCAGTTTAGTTTTAAGTTTTACTATTTTAGTAACAAAAGTACATCTGTAACAGGTTTGGTTTAGGTTTATTTGATTACTGCAAAGCACAATAGCGCTATCTGCCTAAGGTGAGGAATGCCTTCGTGAAGGACTTTCTAAGGGAAACTGGCTCGTATACATGTTACACATGGGGAAAAAAACCACGGAAACGGCCATGCAGCCAGACCGTTCGCGGGATTCGAACGTCGAACCGAACTACCAGTGTTCAGCGACTTTACCGCTGGGCCGTTGGCGAGCCTTCTATTACACAGGACCTGTGTGTGCAGGATCACCTTCGAAATTAAGAGAGTTGTATTTAAAATCATGCTAAACTAAAGCTGCTTTCTTGCCTAATTTTATACTATTGAAAATACCGGTAATTGTCAAAATTATTCGTATTCAATATGTGTAAGATTATTAATGAGCTGCCAAACCGCAGTTAACCATGTAATATACTACATTCAACGTTATTATTTTTCTTTTTGAATTTCAGGTTTTCATTATTTCTGCCATTATATCTGAAACAGGACATAAAGATTGAGTTAATGTAGAATAGAAAATTACCTTGCAACATATCCAATATGACTTAGTGGCAGTACTTCATTCTCTAGAAAAACATTTTAAATTATTATACTTAAACAAAAAATTCATATTTGTTACAGCAAAACATCATTAACACAATAAACCAGAGTTGAATGCAAATCTAGTTTAACTCCATTCTTGAAAACTAGTTTATTACTTTCAATTTAATTTAAAAATAATAAAAAATAAGGTACGTATTATGATGACTACCTAGATATCTCGCCCAAACTGGCAATCCTTGTAGGTTATACAGGTTAACCCTAACATAGGTTATAGAGGGCACTAAGATAGAGAGTATTAATCCCACACTAGGGACTCTAACATTTGGTGGGAACAGTTTGAAAAGTGAAACGGATATTTATAGTGAACCAACGCAAAACAAAAACAATAGTCCTTTAGGGACAAAGCCCCTTTGGACTAATAAATAAATTAACAACTTTTAGCTATTTTTTTCTTGTAAAAAATAGACATACAGAATATTTTTAGAAAATAACTTTAGTACTTTAAGCATGCATTTTCCACATATTTAACAAAATAATTCATTCTAGCTCTGTTGCAATACTGGCAAAGTTACTCCTCTCTTATTAAGGATGGGATTCAGAAATGTACAATGAAACCTCGAGATACGAGAAAAGTATAAGCAAAATACGAGCATTGACTCGAGTAACGAGCAATGAGCCAGGCTGTTGGTATGGGTGGCGCCATTTCCCTATCCGGCTCAACTCAGGGAATCCCCTCATCAGATCACTCAGTGTTCTTTTATATACGTGTTTGTGCCCTTGTAAGTTAATTGTTTTGACATTTAACGTGAAAATAATTATTTCAAGATGCCTTGCAAGAAGATTGTTAGATATGTAAGCACGTGTATATGCATGTGTGCACATATATGTGTATGAGTATACACATACATACATAAAGAATATACACATGCACACACGAGCACCTACATTGAAAAATGCATGCATATAGACACACATTTCTGAATCTGGTCCTGATAACAGAAGAATACCTACATGAATCATAGGATTTACATTAATCAGTTTTATTAGAATTCTTAAATGCAGAGGATTTACATTAATCAGTTTTATTAGAATTCTTAAATGCAGAGAATTTCATCTTCACTATCCGAAAATTCAGTTTCATTTCCAGCTGAAACTATATCAGGACAATCTCATTTATATTATTTCCCTCTAACAACTGAACATTTTTAAAACCTTTTCTATTCCATGGAAAACTAATGCTACATTAAACATATATTTTCTAAATCTGAAAATTTTAAGTTAGCTTAGAAACTGTAATCATTCTTAAAAAAGTTTGATTTATGCAGATGTTAGATCAATAAAATTACTTTCCTGTGAAAAAGTAATATGGCATTGAACAACATGATTTTACACATCAAGATATACTGAGTGAAAATTCCTGAAATGTTTTATTTCTTGGTATCTCACTGTGCAAGAATTGTATAAAATAAGACTACCTCCCTTTTTTAAAAAAAAATGTTTAGTAAATACTATGAAGAAAATTGGTTACATTATTTACAGTTCATAATTAATAGAAAATAAATCATTTCTTAGCTTATCAGAATTTATTTTTTAACACATTTATAAACAGTACTAATTTAAACAAACATAAACATACCATTATGATTTCAATAACTATGAAATAGAAAATCCAAATCTGTGTCTTTGATGGTCTAGTAGATTGGACGTCTCGTTTACTACAATTCAGCAGGGTGCTGACTCCCCAGACTGTAATATATATATATATTTAATTTACAAGGGAAAAAGGCAACAAAATATAAACAATTTCTTGGTTTTATATAAGCATTTCTGCACATTTACAATTTTCATTTTTTAACTATCTAGTTATATCAAAATGCATGATTTAGTAAAATATAATTCAAATAATTTAAGGTATTTTAGATCAAATACTAACTTTTCAATAAATTTTTTCATGCAAGTCTAATAATCAACATAACTATCAAGTTTTGACTTCGAAAATTATTTTTAGAGAAACCTGAGGCTGCAGTAAATAGTAATAAATTTATTCAAAACTGGAAGTAAAGCATTCTTACTTTATTTTCTTTTTTTAACTATGGCAGATCTTTTAAAACGACAAAATCAAACAAACAAAAAAGAAATGCATTTATGAAAGAAAACTTGATATATTTCAGTAATTACAAGTGCATGAAAATTCAGTATATATAAAATAAAATGAACAAAGATTTGGAACAAAGTACCTGTGTTTCTATCGCTTAAAATTTCCTGTTTTAATAGCACAATATCTTTGAGTTAAAGATTATATATTAAAGCAAATTTATAAAACTAAATTCAAAAATAAGAAATTAAATTATTTTTAGGGAAAACACTAAGCAAATAAAAAATTTTGAATTTCATAAATAAATGAAAGTTACATGCTTTATTAGATTTCTGAACAATTAATCATGTTAATATTGCCTTTCTTTTTCCATTAAAAGCTATTTCCTGCTTAATTACAGTATGCTTTAAGATAAATATTAAAACGTTTGAGTAAAAATAATATAACTATAAAAAGGTGAGACACATACAAACAGGAGTGACACAAACAGTAAGAAACAGCCTAGTGCAAATTTTTTTTCAATTTATTGATTTGGTTATTCTATGTCATTAACAACAGTACCAAATCTGAAAATGAATCATTAGGCACGTACACAAAAGAACAAACACATGGAAAATCACATTTCCTACACAGACGCTATTTATAAAATTTATATATAGGTGAAGAAAGTACGAGTATTAAACACTGAAAATATAAAATGTTCACTTACTTTCTTCAAATAATTAGTAATGTGAAATTAGTAACATCGATGGATTCAGTCACAAACGCCAATCCACGAACAAACAGTATTCTTTGCGACTTTACCATTCTTTTCGACCGCCATTGCTGACTTCACAAATATCCCGCCACAACCGGAAGTAGAAAGTGCCTGCTTTGCCATTGGTCAGTGAACAAGAATTGCAACGCTTTTTTTTTTTTCTTTATAATTAAACATATTAAGAAAGCCTCTAAATTAGCATATGAAATAAACTTACTTTTGCATTATATAAATTTATATTCACAGCATCTCTGTATTAAGTAATAATTCAATTTTTCTACGAAAAATAGAAATGTCTGTGTATGCGCATGCTCAGTGTATAATCGTAAATCCGGTTAATTTTTATAAGTTAGCGTAAAATTAACTATGTAAATTTTGAGTTCATTTAACTGGACCCTTGTACTTATTCTGTAGATCTCTATATTAAGAATGTCTTTAACTGTTTCAGGAAAAATATAAAATATAATTATTTATTATTCCTCATAAAAATGATTAAAATCGCTATATCATTTTTCCCGTACATTAAACAAAATTTAAAAAATTTAGCCTCATATGATTTTTATAACAGAGATTAAAGGAACTGAAATATATGTAAAATATGAGAATTCAGCTTACAATTTCATAGGGTTATTATTATTATTATTAAATAAAAATATTAGTATATCTTTGATTATAATTAATGATCCTTTGTTCTACATTAAATTATTGTTCAAGAAGTTAAACATTTTCGAGCATCTTCTGCAGTATTTATTATTCTATTTCTCGACATGAAAAATTTGCTAGTCTTATTCCAATTTAATAGCCCACATTTGCTAAATAAAATAAGACGAGTATTGTACCAAACTCAGTAAGTACACAGATTTAATATACAGCTTAATCCAGTTAAATGAGTAACAGGATTTTCAAAAAAGAAATTAAATTGTGTAAATTAATGTAAGTGTTGATATGAATAAAAATAACAAATTTGATATAAGAAAATAAAAAAGTTATTTTGAAGATCTTTGAATTAAGAAAATATAATTTTTTTGCAAAAATGCACGTAAAAATTTAGCTCACATGTTAAAATTCATAGAAAAATGTTAGCCTCATATTTGAATGCCCCTTTTTCATGTTCGTGGACAAAGAAAACAAAGTGAAATGCCAGAAATACACTAAATATTTTGAATTAATAAACTTCATTTTCAATCTTTTTAGACATCGTATAATATCCGTAAAAGTGACAAATGAAATATACCATAAAGGCAGTAGTTTCTTTCAGAACATTCGGATTCGTATAATATGCGTAAAAGTGACGTATAAAATATACCATTATGGCGGTAGTTTTTTTCAGTACATTCGGATTCATATAATTTTCGTAAAAATAACATAACGATCAAGAGTCAACAGTAACTTTAGCCTTTTTCATTCGTAAAAATTTCGTAAAAGTAACGTGCAAAAAAAATGTAAAAAATACCATACCCTTATTTCACCAAAATTATACATATATTTTTGGAGACGTGCTGCCTGGGCACTAGGTGAGGAATCCTCCAGAACAATGACCTAGCTCTAAAATTGTGCCAGATTAAAATATTTTACATACTGAAAGGAAGAAGGAAATAATTTCTATAGTTAATTCAACTGTTAGGACGGAGGCTAATTTTGATAAAATTTCTTTCTACAAGTATAATACCATTTTAAAGGTAATGTCTTGGATCTTCCATTTTACAAATAATGCCAGATTAAGTCTTAATGAGAGAAATTTTATGTGTACTTCAGCCAATGATTGATTCCAACAGAATCCTTTGCGTTAAAAACAGAATTCCGAGAAGAGATGATTTTCAATTTCCTATTATTCTTCCTTCTAATCATCCTACTGGAATAAAATTAATAAAAGTTAAACACGAAATGACCAATCATGTTATACAATTTTGATATCCACTTTATAAAAACTATACTGGATCTTGAAAACACAAAAGACTGTCAAGAAAGTCATAAGAAGCTGTGTTATATGCCAGAGATTCAAAACTAGTTTTTTGAAAACACCCATTGCACCTCTTCCTGCAGATCAAGTAATAGAAGCAGAATCTTTTGAGATTGTATGTATTGACTTGATTGGATTATTGATACTGAACGGAAATAAAAAAAATATGGATATTAATTTTAATTAGTGCTATTTGAGCAGTACATTTAGAGTTGATTTTCTCTTTATTGCCTGGATGTTTCTTTAGACTTTCATTGCTAGCCACCCAAAACCCCCATACCATCTATTCCAACAATGGAATGAATTTCACAGGTGGTGACAGATTATTCAAAAGCTTAAACCAGAATAAAATCCTAGAGCATGCTAATATTTATAGGATCACACTTCCTGGTGGAAAGGATGGTGAGAGTGATCAACAGGAGATCACAATGAAATCAGAGCATTTTTAAAACTAGTATTGAATGAATATGATAGATGTAATTAATAACTTCTCTTTTGTGCACTGTTAGTATAATTAGGTAGTAATGTGTGAATAAAAATATATTATTATTCTAGAAGTATCTTTTGTCTCGGTCTTATTTGGATGAAGAAGAAGGAATATTTGAGACCTTTACATTTATTCTTGATAGCTTCATCAGAAAACAGTAGGAATTGACTTTTTTAAGGGGGACTAATTAAATAAACAGCAATTTATTCCTTCAAAATTCTGCCAGAATGACAGACACAAATTTGGAGAGATCTCATTTATTATGGTCAATGAAATTGCATACTCAGGTCAGATGTATTACTGTCACACAAATATGTAAGCTTTTATGTAAAAAATGCTCTTTTTCCCAAAAATCTCATATGATTTAAATGCAGGCTTTTGATATTCAAGGTGACAGCAAAGAAGATGATTCTTCTTAGAATTTTAGGTTTATAATTTCTTCCTCCATCCATTTGACTTTTCTACCATGAAAAGCATTTTTTATGTGCTCAACTATCTGGAATTTTCCCATATCTGGCATTTAACATTTCCTGAGTGTTCTGAATAGTTGAATTTTTACATTATGTCTTGAGATTCATGCACTGCTGAAGCAAAGAATAAATCAGTGCTAAACTGTACTGTGATGAGAAACACCCAACGAAAGTTTGATAAGATGGAATAATCATATGCGATAGAGCTGCATTCTTGATTTAAAAAAAAAAAAAAAAAAAAAAAGAGTGAGGAACAGAAAATGAAAGAAAGGAAAAAAAATCTCAGCATTGAAATAGACAAAAATCTACTTAAAGAGAAAACATCATGCTGTACATTGAGTTACTTGCCATAGATTTTGGATAGAATCTGCAAAGAAACATAAGTAACAATATTTATTACAGTTTCCAATAAAAGTACAGCAATTTTAATGTAGAGAAATAAATGAAAATGCTAAGCAAGGAAGTAGCATCTATTCAGACTGCTGGTCCAGATATAAAGCTCAAGAACTAGAAAAATTTCGATTTATGCACAAAATAGTTAATCATACATATAACTCAATTAATACAAGAGAGATCATACATATGCAACATAAAGAAAGAATGCAGGGATCTACAAAATAGTGCAATTATACTAAATTGAATCTAATTTATTTTAGTGTACAGTTACACAATAGTGAAATTTCTAAATCACACTACTTATTTTTTAAGGACATATTATTCTCCTAAAAAGGTGGCTGAGAGGACAGTTAAATCTCTAAAGAAAAGAATGAGCAAGAACTCGCTAATAGGTAGAGAGAAAAGCCATGAATGTATAAAATTATATGAGATGAGTAAAAAACATTATGCAAGAAAAATGTTAACATGATTTTTTCTTTGTTTTCTTCTTAAGAAGGACAATTTTTGTTTATTGTGCATTATTTAAAACAAGGAATTTTTATTACTTGAATGGACTGATCCAAATCTATTTTTTATCCCTTTCCCAACTCCTTGAGAAGTTCAAATTTTTCCTGATCTATTGAAAATACTTTCAATGACTACTTTTTCTTTCTTTGATCTTTTATAATTGCTCACAATTTTCTAAATGAGTAGAAACATTGTACCATACTTGGGCAACAAAAGACAAAAAATTTTTAATATTTGCCTTGCATAAGAGGAAATCGTAAATATTTATTCCCCCCCCTCTAAACTTAAAAAATGCAATCTGCTATTGAACTCGAATCAAATGAAATTTGACTTACCAACATGAGGTAAACTATTCCTGCAGGACCTTTCTCTGCTACAGGGTTCAATTCCAAATAAAGAATCGCTATAACTGGTAAAATTTGGAGAGTCCATATTAATACGATGACCATCAGATGATAATCCACCAAATTCTCCGTCATCATACAACACTAACTGATCTATATCATGCTGACTACTTACAGAATTTGCAACTGAGGGGGGAAAAAATATATATATATATATATATATTTCTATAATATGAATTTCATTAAAAAAGGCAGATAAAGACCAAAAAAACACACGAATTCGTTTTTAAAAGTGAAAGCAATTAAAATTTTATATAATTTTGAACTTACAGTTATAGAATTTAACTAATTAGCCTAGTTTACAAATTAGGTACAACTTACTCAATTTATAAATGCAGTTACCTCATTTAGGCAACCGTTAAGACAGAATTGAAAACACTGACTTTGCAATCCAAGCATGATATTGCATTTTGGTAGGTTCTGATCAAGCAAACATAATCCAGACTGAAATTTAGACATCTAAGTTTCATGTGTAAACAGTTATTAAAGGCTTTTATTAAAGAACTCATCACTTAAGTTTTATACAAATTTGAAACTTGCACACTAAGATTGGATTATTAAATATATCAATTTTTGTAATTACCCATAATAGCCACTTTTACAAAGGCCTACAATATAAATATATTCAATTTTATTTAGGTTACTGAATTTCTTTCTTAGTTAATAAATAGCATCATTCATACCTTGCAGGTAAGTTCACATCATCCAAACTTACTTAAGGAATTAAAATGGTTATCATATCATGGCATTAGAGTTTAACCCGAAAAACTTTTTTTCCAGGAAAAATTGAAGATTAAGAAATGGAGTGGTAAAGGTATGCTTTGTTGTAAATGTTACAGAAATTTTATAAATACTATAAAGTTTGTTAATAATAAGCATTTTTAACAAAAATATTTATTAGTTATGTTATTCTGACATTGCTAATTCTACCATGTCATAATCAGATATGATTACATCATTTCAAAACTTATGTCTTGTAAAGATACTATATAGTACAAAGTCCGTATTCCGGACGTCCATTATCCGGAATGATCTATAATCCGGACCTCAAAGTTTAAGTTTGTAACTGAACAAGAAATTATGTCTGTTTATAGAATAAAAGAGAAAGTGTTAGCACAAAAAACGAAGCAACTTAAACAACTTACATTGAAAGAAATGTTTAATAAAGTAAAAAAATAAATATTAAACTTTTTTTTTTTAAATTTTGATACCCTTTAGATCATAATTGCTCTTTATTTCATAAATTACGGTTTCATATTTTTAATTGTACAATTTCTGCATGCCATCTTACCAGATTTAAATTGATGATTTATAATCCGGAAAAAGCCTAATCCGGAATTGCCGAAGTCCCGACGAGTCCAGATTACGGATTTTGTACTGTACAAACAAAATCTTTCAAAAAGATTAAAATAGAGAACAAGACAACAGTGTATTACATTACATCTATAGTTTAATCCTGGATATCTTTTAAGTTCATGTGCCAGCAAATATATCAGCAGTGTGATAACTCCTGAAAAGATATACTTTCACAGATTTAATGGCAGAAATGCTCTAGAACAAGAATTCCCAACCTTTTTCCTGTCTTGACCTTTTTTAAAAGAATGGTTTTCTTCATCAACCCACTTACATTTTTCTCTACTATATACCAGCACATAACATATTACAGATAATTGCACCTAAATAACTTAAATGACTAGGCTAATATAAACAAATGTTTTGGAAAAAAAACATTTATTAAATTTATGTCTTATTTTCTGTATTTTTTTAATTTAAATAAATTTTCAGGGAAGGAAGGGGGAATTACAGATTCAAAATGCGCAAAAAATCAATTTTAATGAACAAGACGACTGCCCTTGATGTATTGATGCAATCTGCTTAATATTTAGAATAAGACTACTTAATTTAATTCTTAAATCATCCCGTTCAAAAATAATCAACCTCTTTCCTGTTTTTCCATAATAAATTATTAATTTGACTAAAGCTTGCTTCCACTATGTAAGAAGAAAGAAAAGTCAATAATGTTTGGTTTGTAACAAATTTTTCTTTAATATTTCTCTCAGATGACTTTTAAATTTAATAATTAAACACATCCACTTTTTTTTTATAAGTGTTTGAATGTTTTTCTTCAATACGATTAACTTTTGCATCCTAATATCAATCAATATTCAGCAGTTCTATTAAGTCATGCTGGCATTTTCAAATTTTCACCGTCTTAAAAGCAAACATTAAACTCTGCAAATGGCTTGTATATAACAATATATCTTTTGAAGAAACAGACAATCAAAGCAATTGAATTCTTTTTGATTCAAGAGTAATATTTAACTCAATTTATTTAGATTGAAATTTCAAGTCAAATTTTGAATGAAAACCAAAGATATCATTTTAACTTCAATGAAATTGATGTATCTTCCTTGCAGTTATGTTGTGTGGCACTGGACAATGGGCAGATATCAGCTAAGTACACTATATGTTTTCTGAACTTTCTCAATTCTGTTATGATAGGGTTCTACACTTTAAAGGCAAAACTCAATCACAGTAATAGAAATGGCTATAAAATATTGCAAATAATTACCCCTGGATGATCAGTGAAGAAGGAAATTGTTGTAACTTTCATCATTGTGATCATAAAGTTGCATAAAAAAGATGATCATTCAAAGCTTTATTTATTATAGTACAGTCAAAAGTCCTTAATCCGGACTCGTCGGGACTTCGGCGATTCCAGATTATCGATTTTTCCGGATTATAGATCATCAGTTTAAATCTGGTAAGATGGCATGCAGAAATTATAAAATTAAAAATATGAAACCGTAATTTATGAAATAAAGAACAATTATGATCTAAAGGGTATCAAAATTTACAAAAAAAAAAAAAAAAAAAAAAAAAAAAAAGCTTAATATTTATTTGTTTACTTTATTAAACATTTCTTTCAATGTAAGTTGTTTAAGTTGCTTCGTTTTTTATGTGATAATACATTCTCTTTAATTCTATAAACAGACATAATTTCTTGTTCAGTTACAAAGTTCCGCTGTTCAAGTCCTATAATTGCTGTGTCTACCGACTAATTTGTCAATCGAAATTTTTTCGTTTTCAATAACCTCTGTCACTTTCTTCGCTATCGGAAGCGAATTATAATGACGAGGAATTTGATTTAAATCATATCAAAGACGGAGTACATCGAGATGAAATACTACATTTAGTAAGGAATTATAAGCCAAATAAAATAAAAACATCTGCCCTGAAGATAAGGATAGTGCTGACAGATCAACTTCCAATTCATTGCGCTGGCCGCGCTACGGCGTTAAATAAACAAAGTTTAGATAAACAAACGTTAAAGTTTAGATAAACAAAGGATATGCCTTTATCCATTTTTTGCAGCAATTCCACTTTTTGTTTAATGAACTTCGAAACATACTTTCGCTTTGTAGATCCTTTACATATTAATATATATCAGAAATTCTATTTGACATAATTGAAAGTTCAAGCTTACTTTTATAAAATTGCTCTAACAGTCTGCAAAAAATAATAAGCCAGATCCAATTCGAAGATTAAGGAACAACGCAATCTGCAACATTAACTGAAACAGATAATTAGATAATTTTAGCTTAGCTTACGCTGTCTGTTAGACATTAAACGCGCACTCGTAAACATATTTTGCGCACGCGCACAAGCATATTCGCAGCCATAAAGGTCTTACGCGCATGCGTCAATGCGGTGCATGCGCAGAAAGTTTGTAGCTTTGAGGTCCAGATTATAGATCATTCCGGATTATGGGTGTCCGAATTAACGACTTTTGACTGTATTCATTGTTTTAATGCATGGCTTTAAAACAGTATGAAGCTCCTCTTGAATATTTTTCATTGTAAATTTTAATGTACTGGAAAAAAAAAAAAAAAAAAACCACCACTCCTAAAAACTATTATTAAAGAAAGGTGTACAAACTACATCAGCCAGAAAGAACTGTAAATATATAAATGAGCACATTATCTAAGGAAAAACACTTATTACTTCTAAATCAATTAGGCTGCTAATCAATTACAGATTGATTAAATCTGAAGGAAAATTACATATTTTTATGCTTTATCAAATAGCAACACCCTGAGAAACAGCTGTGTGCAAGGACACATGGATGTAAAATTAATGGTTTTATGTTTTACATAAAGGTAATATTTTTCTAAGGCACATGAAAAACAATTGCTGCTTCTAGATTCTTTCCATTCCTCATCTATTAATTTCTAAGGCATGATTGAGTGTACAGATTTTATTTTGCCTGAATAGGATTTTGTATGTTAACTGAAAACATTGTATGTGCTTTGAAGAGTGCAGAAAGAAAAAGAATTCTTTATTTTAAATATTTTTTAATGTATACACAAAACTAATATGAAACCCTAACTAGTAAAGAAAACTTCTGCTATACAAATTATCAATAATAAGTTGTATGCCATTATCAATATTTTTTCATCAAGCATATACAGTAAGACCCCGCTTAACGCGGGGGATACGTTCCATCAAAGTAGAGCGTAATGCGAAACAGCGCTAAACGAGGCTATCTTTACATGTAAATTTTGGGGCTAGGGGAAGATGGCTAGGAAATTGGTTAGGTATTAAATTTAAAAAGTATGTTTTTTTAATAAAAATAAAACGAATATTCTTAAAAAAAAAATAAAATTCTAAGTCAGTCATATTTAGTTAGCCTTCCGCGTTTTCAGTGTTCTGCCTTTTTGTGACAAAAGCATCTAATGTTGTTTGCCTTTTTCTTTTGCGTTGTTCTCTTAAAAAGTTCTCTCATAAACGGATAGAGCATCTCTAACACCACGCCTTACTTACTTTGAGCTCCTGTCAAAATTCGGATCATTTTCAATGAATTGATCCCATTATTTCAGTTATGGTAGACAAACTCGTTTTTACAAAACGCCATCGAAAGTTCTTTTTGCTCTTCTTCTGAATCACTGCTGTCAACATTTTTGTTTTCTTCTTGTTCAGTTAATTCCTTGAGCTCATCATTAGAAAGACTAGCCGCTGCTTCTTGAATTATTTCTTCGACATCTTCCACATTTACCCCTTCAAAATATGTCTGTACAATACCGCACCAAACAAGAAATACAAGTACACTCTTTCGGATTGGTATT